TCTTTTTTTTTTTAGAGTCACATATCATGCATTTTAATTTTCTTGAGAGGTGCACTTGGCAAACATGAATCTTGTGTTCACTCAGTCAGCTTCAGTTCAGAGGTCTCAGTGGATAAGCATCCTGCTGCAGTGAATAGGATGTCAGTGTGTTTGGTATGACCTGGTGGCTAAATGTAAGTCACCATTGTACTGTACAGTATTTTAGGTAATTTAAGGGAAATTCAAAGATAACTGAGTTACTTGCACTTTTTGCTGGACATGCTGACTTAGAAGATAACCTTCATCTCAGATATGACTTGATTCTGTAGCAATATGTGTGTGTGTATTTAACCTTTCCAGCTACTTGATCCCCTTAAGGATCAAATAGATTATATGACCTAGGCTTGGAATTGAATAGTGAGTTTAGAACTCCAATTTTAGTGGAAAAATGGATTAAAAGTTTTAAATGCCTGAACTGGAAGTGAATTTTGAGCATCTTCTGTAAGTAAAGAACTTGGCAAATAAATTATTTGTAGATGTTTACATATAACTTATATTTCCAGCTCTTTAGATTAGTGTTTTTTAATGTTTTTCATGTTTAAAAGACAAAGAGTTTTTTTTTCTTGGCATGTAAACATCCTATTTTCTTTTTTCTTAGTGATTTGCCTTCAAGGAAATTGGGGAGTCTGAAAATTGGGAACGCATATCAACATGGCAAACCTACTGAAAACAGTGGTGACTGGCTGCTCGTGTCCTTTACTTAGCAATTTGGGGTCCTGTAAGGGTCTACGTGGGAAGAAGAATTTTTTACGAACATTTCATACTCACCAAACCCTGCGGTGTAAAGCCCCTGTAAAACAAGGTAAAGTCTCACTTCAGTGATTGTAAATGAAACCTTAAGTCATAGGAACTAATAGGTCTGATAATAGATAAAAGGAAAAGCCAGGTAGTTTTATGGTCTGATGCTTGTGAGTGATCATTATAAATAAAAAACAAGTAAGTGCTGTCATATTTTCCATGTACTATAGAGGTTCCTGATTCACAGTGCTAACAGAGAAGACAAGGTAATAGAAAAAAACAAACAAAAAAGATAAACCAGTTGAGTTGTCCCTGGAACCTATTGCTCATAGTAACCATTTTTCCTAGAAGTCCTTTCTAATTCCTTGTTAGTATTGGAGAATTGTACCATATACACCTCATCTATGCTCAGGAATTAGGAATTAAGTATATTAATTGATCTACAATTTAGTAAGTAGCAGTTTGATTGCAGTTGCTCAGGTGAGAAACCCTGCAGTCATTCTACTCTCCTAGTAGGTATAGGTCAGCTCTCCTTGTATCTATAATCTGTCCTCTTCTTGCCTACATTTATCATCTTGGTCCAAGCCATCATCATCTGTCACCTGGATTGATGTACCAGCCTCCTAAATGGTCCCTGTGCTTTTTACCTCTGCCCCCTACAGTCTGTTCTGCACAAGACAGTGAGAATTATCTTTTTAAAATGTACAATCATGTTACTCCTCAACTCAAAATTTACCACTTGTTTCCTAGTCCTTACAGAAGAAGATCTGAAGCCTTCCAGTGGCCTGCAAGGCCTTCCCTGATAGGACGTCTCCTTGCTTCTGTTCTGGAGTACCGGCCAAGAGGAGGAGAGGCTAAATGGAGCCCTTCTAAACCAAGTCAACTCTCATTAGTCTTGGCCAGAGACCATCCCAGTACTTCTATCACGTCACCTTACTGTGCAGAGCTCAGATATGTAGCTGTTTATAGCTGTGAGGGACACTCAGACATTTTATCTTTTATTCTAGATGGCAACATACCCAGCTAAAAATAACATTTTCTTACTAAGGTGGAGGAACAGGATGGATATTTGAGGGGCAACCTTTATGACACAGAATAATGCCTCTTTTGTTTTTTTTAAGTTTGTAGGACTATTTGTCTATTCATTAAGGACCCCTTAACTGCTAGGTGTTGTGAGATCTTATGTCTCACAACATAGACATAAGATATAAAATCTATAAAATAGATTTTATAGCCTCTTTTCTTGTACTCAGATGACAAGTCACAATTGGCAGGGTATCTGTCCCTACGAGCTTCCAACTTTATCTTCAGATGCTTTCTTTTAAACTGCTCTGGAAAGCCAGATTATCCTGTGTATTAAAATTGTGTATAAAATAAAGGTAAATAACTGTGTTGAAGACATGAAAATTGTCCTTGTGAGTAAATCCTTGGACATCAAGATCTCACTGGTTCTTGAATATTTCCTAATTATTTTTTATCTCTGAGATAAGGAGTCTGTTTTTTCCTTAATGTAACTATAAGTTCATTACCATATTGAAAAGTATAGTAATTCCAGTTAGTCAGTATTCATATTTTTTCAACTGTTTTTCCCTTCCTCTATCCCTCCCTCTTTCTTTTCCTCCCTCCCTGCCTACCTTCCTGCCTTCCTTCCTTCCTGCCTCCCTGCCTTCCTGCCTGCCTTCTGCCTTCCTGCCTTCCTTTCTTCCTGCCTTCCTTCCTTCCTGCTTCCCTGCCTACCTTCCCGCCTTCCTGCCTTCCTGCCTGCCTGCCTTCCTGCCTTCCTTTCTTCCTGCCTTCCTTCCTTCCTGCCTCCCTGCCTACCTTCCCGCCTTCCTGCCTTCCTGCCTGCCTGCCTTCCTGCCTTCCTTCCTGTCTTCCTTCCTTCTGCCTGTCTGTCTGTCCTCTTTTTCTTTACAGTTGGATTGGTCCAAGAGTGATCCAAACAGGGGCCGCATATTATATTTGCTATATCTCTTTGGTCTCTTTTTATCTATAAGTTCACCTCTTCCTTCTTCCTTTTAATATACTGAATAATTTCATTGTTGCTCTTTAGAATTTACAACATTATAGGTTTGGCTGATTGAATCCTCTTGGTATTGTTTAGCCAGTTTCTCTGTCCCTTATATGTGCTCAAATTATCTCATATTTGGTCAGTGCAAGCCCTTTCACATTGGCTTCTAAATCGTTTTGACATGACATCAGTCATCTTTGGTAGCTTTCTTGCTTTTGGCATATAGAGCCTGACAACTCAAGATTGTCAGATAAGTGAACATGAGATAAGTATATGTGATTTAGCTTTAGATGTCAATCTAAATATTGGCCAGCTTTCTATTATTTTCATCCCTTTCCTTCAAGTAAGGAGTAAGATTCAGTATTATTTGCCTTTTGTGTACTGTAAATTATTACTATATAAATAGTGTGGAATCTAAGACAGTGTTCAAATTTAGGTCTGAATTAATCTCTCTAAAGTCTTACTTAATAAGTTACTCTGTAGGATAATTTCATTCATTTTAAAATTATAAATATTCAGATCTTAGATTGTAAAAATGGATTTCCTAAGCTTTAATAAACCTTATATAGAAACAGATACTCTTTATTAAAAGATGTTTATGCTCGCATGTTAAGTAAAACCTCAGGAGAAACTGATGTCCTGTAGTTAAAGATGGTCTGGACCATATCTAAATATAGCATTGTACTATATAAGCTTTTTTGGGTTGCAAGGAACAGAATCATACCAGATTATATATTGTGATGAGGGTTTACTGTGTGGATTCTTGGCAAGTAAGAGAGCCCAGAAACCCCCATCTACTCCTTGGATAAGTGGAACGTTATTTGTAGATTTCATGGTTGTGACCCAGCTTCTGTCTTTAAATATCTACTACTGATGTTGCTGCTGCTGTTACGTTGACTTCCCTTTGATTACCTCATAGCTGTGCTTACAAATAACATTTGCACTGATCTATTCTCCTTGTCCCTTCTGTGGGTCTCCCATTCAAAGTCCTTGAGAGAGAACCCAGTGGTTTGAGTAGTCACTGGCCAACATAGAGTGTCCTTGGACAGAGTTCCTGTCTAAATTATCTCATAAGCTGTGGTTGCTGGTTTTCCTCGTCTGCCCTGTAGATGATTATCTTTGACACAGTTGCTGATCTCTCTTCTAAGTGGCTGAGTGTATACAGTCTTAGGATATAGGCTAACGCCTATGATCCCAGCACTTTGGGAGGCCGAGGCGGGTGGATCACGAGGTCAAGAGATCGAGACCATCCTGGTCAACAAGGTGAAACCTCGTCTCTACTAACAATACAAAAATTAGCTGGGCATGGTGGCATGCAGCTGTAGTCCCAGCTACTCGAGAGGCTGAGGCAGGAGAATTGCTTGAACCCAGGAGGCGGAGGTTGCGGTGAGCCGAGATCGCGCCATTGCACTCCAGCCTGGGTAACAAGAGCAAAACTCCATCTCAAAAAAAAAAAAAAAAAAAGGTATAACACTTAGAAATCTATGAGGAATTGTCTGTGACCAAATTGTCTGGAAGGGAACTTTGAGTGTGGCAGGCCAGCAAAGTGTCTTAAGATACAGTTGTTCTTCAAAACAGCTAATTACTTCCATTTTTGTTAAAGGTAAGGACAAGGAGGCCACAACCCAATGGGCTTAGTTTGAAGAGTGGAGTCAGCTTGCAGAGGGATCGCTAAACTCATTTTGTTTCCTTCTACAAATAAACTAAGCTTGGTATTTTCCTTGAAGAAAGCCAATTGATTAAATAAAATATTATAAATATTATGAATAAAGTATGAATGAGGAACATCATTCTGAACAGCAGCTTGCACTTGCAGTATATTTTGAAGAAAAGACTGCCCCCTTCAATTTTCTGAAATCTGTTTCTAAACATTTTTTGTTTGCTTTTTACCAAATGTATATATTTTTTGCTTTTCTTATTTATAGGAATTCCATATAAGCAACTGACTGTTGGAGTCCCCAAGGAGATATTCCAAAATGAGAAGCGAGTGGCATTGTCTCCGGCTGGTGTTCAGAGCTTGGTCAAGCAGGGTTTTAACGTTGTTGTAGAATCGGGTGCGGGCGAAGCCTCCAAGTTCTCAGATGATCACTATAGAGCGGCAGGTGCCCAAATCCAAGGGGCAAAGGAGGCGCTGGCTTCTGATTTGGTGGTCAAAGTAATTATTTCTTTTTCCTCTCCTGTTTATAGCATGCTGACTTTTTGAAATCTTTTTGTAGAAAAGTTAAATTACTTTTTCTGGAGTTGTACCTTTTCCTATTTTCAAACAGTGACTTTTTCTCAAAGAGATGATTCCATGTTGTCAATATTCTTCATGCTCTAGTAGAACTTTTATCAGACAATATGATCTATGTTTAACCATGAGGAGAGAAAAAGTGATCTTCATTTTTACATTTGCTAAATGAAAATTTCCTTTTAATTGGCTAGGAAAAAAATTGTTCTACATGGTCCATATATATCCAGAATACTCACATGTGAGCATTTACTGCTAGAATGGAAAGAAGGTGTAGAACTTAGTCTGGGACTGAATGTTCAGTGATTTTCTGATACCTGAAGGCACAATGATTGATACTGATAAAAGGGCTATTTCTAGAGAGGGCATGACTATTTTGGAGAAAGCAGCTTTGGGCTGAGTGGCGAGTAGCTTTACCTACCTTAAAATAAGTTTTTAAGGTAATATATAACAGAAGTCTATATTCTAAAGGACTTGAGAATTAAAATATGAAATAAAAAATCCTTTAGAGAAAGGGAGTGAGACTGTATCAATAGTCTAGCACAGATGATAACTAGAGTTGAGCATCAAATTAAATGCTAAGCCTCCTGAAACCAAGGCAAACAGGGAAGTTACTCATTTTTTTTCAGGAAATACAAGTTTTTTTCTACATTAATTTCTAAGGGATATTGATCACATAGTTTTTTAATTTCCTTACATAGAGCCCACTGAATAACTTGACAGGATCTTAACACTTGACAGGTGGTTTTTGGTGAAAGTTACAAAACCAATTTTTGCTATTTAAAGTTAATAGTAAAATTTGTGGTATGGGGGTTAACTGTAACTCAGCTAAAGCTTTTTAAAGGTTTAGGTTTACAAATACTTGGTGATATAACTAGATATATAGTAAAATAACTTAGATAAAAAAGAAAAGCATAATCTATTCTCATGTATATTCTAGGGATCAAAATCTTTTGAGATGTTTTGAAAAAGGCCTATAAGGGGGTATTTTACGTTTTGGAAATGCTCTGTGTTCTTTTTAGGAATTCACAATATATATAAGCAGTTAATGGAGTGCTCAGAAATCCTATAACATAGAATATTATATGACTTTATACAGTATTAGCATTAGTAAACTACACGACCTTGGGGACCTCTCGTTTGAGCCAAGTCTGTTAATATCCTGAGGAGCGCATTCAGGGGAACATTCTATTGGCTTGGCTTATGCAGATGACAGTAGTCTCAGCTGAGCATTTGACAGGGGCCAGTAGAATCAATTCAGAGTTGTTCTCTAACATTTACTAAATCTATGTTATAGATTTTCTTGGAGGAAAAATAGACCTTGTCAGAGAGCCTTAATTAAAGTCCAGAACCTAGAAACATATGCATCACCAGATCAACAACTGAAATGGGAATAGCAGACAAAGGTGTCTCATAGGTAAATTGAGGTGAAATGCTGTGAGATAAACTTATTGACCCAGTGTTTGTGTTTGTATTTAAAACATAAGTCCCAGAGGCTGTGTTTTCTGTGTTTACTTGCCTAAAAGCACTATTGCTAACTGGGAACTAATGAAATGGGATATTTTATTTGAAGGTTGCTTTTAAACTTGAATATAAAACATTTTAAAATACTTTTAAAATGGAATTTTAAAAATTTGGCTCTAAAAAGTGGACATTGTAAACTTTCAGGAATATGGAGTATGTATTCATTGACTTATTTCATGCTTCTTAACGTAACAGAATATATTGTGGCTTTTGGCTTAAACCCAATTCAGCAAGATTACTAGAGTAAATTGCATTCATCTATAGTCATCCAGAATTTTAAAGTAACATAAATCTATACTTAGTTTTAGTTTACAACGTTCTTCATGTCTTATCCCTCCAAATATTGATGCTTGCCAAAATTAGCAAGGATTGAATCTTGCTTGAAGGATTGAACACACAACAAAACTTCCTGTATGTTTATTCTAATGTCTGTTAATTTTACCAGGGTAATAGGTTTTGGGGACTGCAGGTTTGCTGTAGAGATTCTATAGTTTTTTCACCATTCTGTGGTTAATTGTCAAACCTGTCTCAGTATTTTGTATTTCCCAGGTGTGTGTGCTCTTTACACAGAGTAGTCCACAAGTCACTAGGCACAGGATAGATGGTATATATCTTTGTGTGCCTTAACATTGCTTAAGAATTTAGTCAGAAATTTATTGATGGAAGATTTACTTCTGGAGTATTATTTCAGTCATGACATGTTATCTAAGTTTTCCTGTTTACTTAAAAATATGATTAAGATATTTATATTTTTAATCTGTGACTTGATATTTTTTCCAGGTGCGAGCTCCTATAGTTAATCCGACATTAGGTGTTCATGAAGTCGACCTTTTAAAGACATCAGGAACACTGATTAGTTTTATTTACCCAGCCGAAAATCCAGACTTGCTAAATAAACTTTCCAAAAGAAAAACTACAGTTCTCGCAATGGACCAGGTTCCAAGAGTCACAATTGCCCAGGGATACGATGCACTGAGCTCCATGGCCAACATTGCTGGGTAGGTTGATTCTTTTCCATTTCACCTGAACAAAAGCACGTTGATGATACAGAAATCTTCACACTGTAGCTCTTCTCTTTTACAGTGATTTTACTTGTAATTATTGTTGGAGATTGCAGCATTTTCAGAGTGCATTTAAATTATTTTTGACTCATTTTATTGTTTTATAGTAATCAGATAGGAAATGAACTCTATTATATATTCCTATTTAATCTTAATGAGTAGAAGAGTAGTATTTCCATCCACCAAAGCAAATAGCTATCAGATTATTTGTATGGGGAACACACTGTATTTCATGTGTGTGTGTGTGTACATGTATATAGTTTTTATAGGTCAAAAATGGTTGAATAGTGACAATTTCATGTGGTTAAATTAATATACATATATTAGTGCATTTGCCATCTTAATTAGATTTTGCTTAGGTAAATTTATAAAATATTTAAATAATAGGAAAAAGATCTGCACAAAAGGAAGTTTCATCTGATGTCAAAACCTGTATTGATAACTGAGGGCTAACCACGTCTTCTGCTTTTAAGGTCAATATGCTAATAAGCTTTATTTGCCCACTAGCACTAATACATTCTCTGTTGATTGCCTAGAATACTATGTTGAGAAGGATTCTAAGGCCCATTCTGTTTAGAAGAATGTGGCTATGGTAGAGTAATCATGCCTGCCATGGGTGAGGATCAGGAATAACCCCTACATGAATGCAGTGTACTGCTGACTTTGCCTTAGAGGTTGGGAACAATTCTGGAAATGGGATAATGCCTATGCATCAGCTTTTCTAAGAAACTAACTGAATTAGATTTTAAGCATGAAAACTATTAGTACTTAACAATTTGCTAATATTAATGAGGTACAAATAGGGAAAATCTTTTTAAAAAAACAGTGCATAAAAAAGACTAACATGACTAACATGAATAAAACCTTTTATAGCTTGACACATAAGTTGAAAGTTCTCTTAGGCTTTATATTTTAGCACAGGAAATATGCCATCGATTCTACTTTGTGTTTTATCTGCACACTTTTTAACTTATTTAGCCTGTAAGGGAGTTATATTATGCAGTGTGTGACTTAAAGTTTTATCTAGAAAATGTATAGTGTGAAATGTTAAGGGTGCTGTTGATTCTGAAATGCACATGTGTGAAAGAATATCAAAATTGGTAGCTCTAGATCAAGTTGTTTTAGTTATAGAATCTTTTGAGCAAATGAAATATTATGAGACAATGTAAATAAGTCGGGTAAGAGCTGAGTAGCTTTGGGTACACTGAGCATGGCAGGAGTGTGCAGAAGCATGTTTACTCTCAATCTCATCCACTATGGCCCCAGATTTATCTGAAGTTTAAACCTTCAGGGACTCAGGGATCACAATTTGAAGAATCACTCTTTTATGTCCTGAGCTGATATATGCAGAGAACACAGTGTGAAAAGAATCATCTAGTATACATATCCATACAGTGTATGAGAAATCAATATGTATCTCATTCATACACACAGCCATATTACAGTGAGGATGTGCTACTTCCGTTTATTACTGTTCATTCTCAACTTTTTTGCTGTCATGAAGAAAATGCCCAATTTATTGCTTTTTTCACTATCAACGTTTTCTTGTACATTTCCTGTGTAATCAGTCTCCTTTTGTAATTTGTTTTTCAGAATAGCAACTGAATCTTTTAGAACATTAAGTCCACAATTAATTTCTTACTGGGGTCTTTGAATCTGTGTCATATTTGCCCATTGAAAATTTCTATCACTTGCATTCAGAAGACCAACAGATAATGTAATCTCTAAAGTATTGTTTTTCTGCTCCAGTATGATTAACTTAATAATGGTGACTTTACATGTTTTTGCATCAATTATCGTATCAAGTATTATTATATAAAAATAAGATCAGGGAGAGGTTTTCTTGCCACCTAGCCAGGAGGTTTTAATAGTTGCTTTATAATATTGAGTCAGAGTATATATTAGCAAGTAAGAATGCAAAAGTGCCTTTTACATATAAAGCAATATGAAAATGAAATTAGTGTAGCATGTTAAAAATATCCTGTTAAAGAAAAGATGGTGCATATTATTAGATTTATTGCATATTTTGTTTCTTTGGCTAAAACACTTAATATTCACTTAGCATTTTCTATGTGACAGGCTTTATGCTAACTGTTTCACCTGCGTTATCTCATTTAGTCCTCATGACTCTAAAAGATAGATGCTTTTTGTTCTCACTTTATAGATGAGGAAACCAAGATTAAGAAAATTTTAAAAATTTGCCCAAGGTCACAAAGCTAATCAGTCATAGAACTAGGACTTGAACTAAGGTCAGTCTGTCTGAAAATCCCGTACTTTGAACGATCAGAGATCAAGGGAAGTGTTTCTTCTGTTCTCTGAGGCTGGAATCTTATTACGTACAAGCCTATGGCTAAGCTAATTTTATTTATTTTAAAGATTTTCTCCCCATTACCTAAGCCCTACCTAGTCATCAAAGAAAATTTGGACAACATAGTAAAGTAAGTGTGAAGGATGTATAGTCTTAGCACACAAAGAAAATCAGTGTTAGTATTTTTCTATCTTTCTTTCATTTAATTTTCTATTATGTTCTATAGTACTTGTTGTGAAGAGGCTGGGTAGCATAAGGGATAAGAGAGTGCCTCTGTAGGCAGGCTGCTTGTGTTAGACTTTTGGCTCTCACATTTACTAGCTGACTGACCTTGGGCAAGTCTCAATCTCTCTATATCTCATTTTTCTCACCTATGGAATGAAGGTAATAATTGTACCTATCCATAGGCTTATTGTGAAAGCTAAAGGAGTAAGTGTATATACAACACTTAGAACTGTTTTTGACACATAGTACATACTTATATAAATATTAGCTATTATTCTTTGACGAAACTTCATTGATGACTTATGATGATATGTGAGCCTGAAATCTCTCCTTTTGTGGAATTATCTATTTGTTTCTTTATTTTTAAAGTTATAAGGCTGTTGTCCTAGCAGCAAATCATTTTGGACGTTTTTTTACTGGTCAGATCACAGCTGCTGGAAAAGTTCCTCCGGCTAAGGTAGGTACAATTTTTAATGTTTCTTTATAGTATGCATTGATTAAAGGGAAGGGTATGTATACTCTGAAAGCACAGCTATTTAAAAATTCTTATGTGTTAACCTCACATTGATGACTTTCTGGTGTGTATAAATATTTCCTAAAGCCTCAAAGCGGAATGTTTAAGATTGCTAGAAAAAAATGAACTTTGACTTTCTGAAAGTTATAGTTTTTATTTTCTGTTTTTTGACTTACTAATTTTTTTTTCTTTTTGAGACAAAGTCTCAGTCTGTTACCCAGGCTGGAGTGCAGTGGCACTATCTTGGCTCACTGCAACCTTCGCCTCCCAGGTTCCAGTGATTCTCCTGCTTCAGCCACCTGAGTAGCTGGGACTATAGACATGGCTACCATGCCAGGCTAATTTTTGTATTTTTGAGTAGAGATAGGGTTTCACCATATTGGCCATGCTGGTCTCGAACTTCTGATCTTGTGATCCGTCCACCTCAGCCTCCCAAAGTGCTAAGATTACAGGCATGAGCCGCCACACAGCCAACTAATTTGAATTTTAAAAGGATTTTGGATAACTTGTTCTCTGTAGCCTACATACTATTAATTTTTTTTAAAAAAGTTTCTAAGATATGATTCAAAAGATTCTGGGTTTCTCAATTGTTGCAACATTTTGGTACATTTACAAAATATTTTTGGTTTTCTCACTTCTTGTCAATTTTTGGATCAAGAAGACAGGAAATGGGAGATGGTGTAATCAGGGTATTTGGCAGAGAGAAAGGGTGCCAGTTTCTTTAATCCACACTGAGAACAGAGAGGAGCAGTTAATGGTGAGAGGTGACGATGGCTTGCTGAAAGACTAGGAGGTCATGTTGTGATCCTTCAATACTATGTACACTAAGTAACAATGGAAACCCTGAAGCTAGGTGTCTTAGTCCATTTTGTGTTACTAAAAGAGAATGCCTGAGACTGGGTAATTTTTTTTTTTTTTAAGAGTATCAAATGATTTTATTATGAAAGATAAGTCATTTACTGACCACTTTCCTAAAAAAAACACAAATGTGAGAATAAAGTAAACATATGTAAGACTCGCTAGCCCCTGCATGACAGGAAGCAGTTCCGGACAGAGAACCTGCAGATGAGTTTCCTTATACCTCATGTCTGAACTTTTCACACATTCTAGGATTTCATGTTTTGTTACATACTACAAAGGAAAGGAAACTGGCTAGAAGATTCATGTACAAGAAGGTCACAACTTTAAAGCTATCTGATGCTAATGACTTGTACAATCTAGTTTGGAACTCTGGGAGACAATATCAAATAAGCACTGTTAAATACCACCCCCAGTTAACCTTTACTGTCATTGTTCTTTCAAACTGTCTTTGGGATTGGTTCTGTTCTCTCACTGTAGCTTTCATTTCTCCCAGAGCACAAACCCTAAAGTCCATGTGCAGTCTCCATGTTCAAGTAAAGTCTGTTTCAGGAAAACCCTGGGTTGCTGTAGTGTTTCTCTCTCTGTAGTGTCTACTTGGTGTCACACCCCTGGACAGAGGACCAAATGGCAGCACAATGCAGGGGGTGACACGGTCAGCTTCCCTGCTGCTGAACTTGCTCCCCTTTCAATCTGTTTACTGCCCATAGTCAAGGTTGAAATCTTTAGACCAGTGATGACCTTGGCCTATCTTCAGTCTGAAGTTGCTCTCTTATGTAACCGAATCCATTTCTTCGCCAAAAATTGAGCTTTCAAAAGGTGACAGGCATATTCTTAGGAAGTGTCCTGAGATGGAGCTGGTGGGTCCTGGCCGTCGGGCTCTGGAGGGGGTGCTGGCCCAGCTGCTTTTTTCTGGGCTGCCAGGAACTCATGAATTGCTCGTTCTATTTGTGGCCTGAAGATGTGGTTTAGTTTTGGATCCACCACCTGAGAAATAATCCTGTCTACTCCAGCTTCCAACATCCCTGACTGAACCACATTCTGCCTCAGACCATTTCGCAATTGGTTTTTGTTCATTGTAGGATTCCATTCCTGCTTGTCCAGATGTGTTGACACAAAATTATCCACTTTCTGCCTCAGGTGTTGGTGGGCTGGCTTTGTGTCCACGTCGGCCAGGCAGTCCCGGCGGAAGCTGTCAAAGAGGCCCCGGCTCTTGAGCTGCTCCACTATGAGAGCGATGAGCTGCGGGTCGCCGGGAGGCAGCGAGGCGGGGTTGAGGGGGCCACCGCTCCCGCTGGCCCCGTAGCGGCAGTCGCTGCCCCGGCAGAGGCCTGGCCCGCTCCGCTGTGGCCCACCGCGCCGGGTCCCCCGCCGCCGCCGCCGCCGCCGCCGTCCGCCATGGCTGCGCCCCAGGCCCACAAGGGAGACCGACTATAGCTTCTTCTCCAGGACAGGTCTAGAATGTGTAGAGGCGGCGAAGGGGGTGGTGAAGGGGAAGGGCGCCACAGAGGCAGCGGCGGAGATGACGGTGGTGGTGGCGGCGATGGCGGCGGGGGCGGCGGCCAGCTCTGAGGCTGCAGAGGTTGTGGTGGGACCGGGTAATTTATTTAAAAAACAAGGTTTACTTGGCTCATAATTCTGGTAGCTGTAAAGTTCAAGATTTGGAAGCGGCCTCAAGGCTGCTTCAACTCATGGTGGACAGTGTAAGGGGAGCAGGTGTGTGCAAAAAAGATCACATGGTGAGAGAGGAATCAAGAGAGAGAAACTGAGGGAACCAGACTCTTCTATCAACCCCCAGAGTGAGAACTCAGTCCCTCACTCCCAGGGAGGGCATTAATCTGTTCATAAGAGATCCATTCCCATGACCCAAATACCTCTTCACTAGGACCCACCTCCCAGTATTGCCACATTTGGGATCAAATGTCCACATGAATTTTTGTGGGGACAATGCACATCCAAACCATAGCACTAGGTACAGGAAACTAATTTTAAATGTGGTCATTTATCTACCTGTAGGGTATAGGTTTAAGTGGTGCTTCCTGCTCTTAAGTACTTTGTTATATAAGCCCAGAGTTCTCACACAAAATAAATCTCCTGGAAAAAAAGTGAAACAAAAGCTAATAGAGCTTTGAGAAATTATATTGTTTTGAATAACAGGCCAGGTTAAAAAAACGGCAAGCGGTTTAAGTGGAGGTCACAATACTTAGTAAGAAAGTGTGAGCAAACAACATAGACATGACATGTTAAATGACTAAATTTTGACTTCTTTCTCAGGATTATAAAAATATGTCTGGCACTCATAGTGACCAGAAGTTTGATGCTGTTCTTAAATTGACTGAATGCTTTGATGCACAAAATCTACTACTGATTTTGGTTATAATCTTTCTAGATATTTGTGGAAGTTGAGAGAAAAGCTGTGAATAAAAGAGATTAAAAAGTGAAACAAAAGACAAGAGACAAATAAAAGATTGCTAGCCTTTGAAAGGTGGAAAAGTGACTATCTTTACTGAAAATTTAAATTGCACCTTAAGGGACTTGGGTTACATGACAGAAATAGTTTTCTGAAATTGAAGGCACTGGTATAGCTCGTCAAGGTAGATTGCATAATATAGTCTTTTATTTGGATTTCCTTTAAACATGGAGGGTTCTTACCTATCTAGTACAAGTTTGTTCAGGCTGAAGCCTGTGGGCTGCATATGGCCCAGCATGGCTTTGAATGTGGCCCAATACAAATTTGTAATTTTCCGAAAACATTATGTGATTTTTGTTGCCATTTTATTTTTTTGACTCATCAGCAATTGTTGGTGTTAGCTAGTGTATTTTATACATGGCCTAAGACAATTCTTCCATTGTGGCTCAGAGAAGCCAAAAAGATTGGCCCCTGGCTTAGAATGAATGAAAATCAATCAGTTGAAGGCTTATGATATGCGAGGCATTGTTCTAGGATCTGGGGATATGGCATGAACAAGAAAAAAGTCCGTGCAGCACAAAACTTACACTCCAGTGGGGGTCATAGTGAGGAGACAAAAGATCAAATGAATACCTGAGATAATTTAATTTATTTATTTATTTATTTATTTATTTATTTATTTTTTTGAGACGGAGTTTCACTCTTGTTACCCAGGCTGGAGTGCAATGGCGCGATCTCGGCTCACCGCAACCTCCGTCTCCTGGGTTCAGGCAATTCTCCTGCCCCAGCCCCCTGAGTAGCTGGGATTACAGGCACGCGCCACCATGCCCAGCTAATTTTTTCTATTTTTAGTGGAGACGAGGTTTCACCATGTTGACCAGGATGGTCTCGATCTCTTGACCTAGTGATCCACCCGCCTCGGCCTCCCAAAGTGCTGGGATTACAGGCTTGAGCCACCGCGCCCGGCCAATTTAATTTATTTTTGACTTGGTTTTTTTGGAGGCAAGGTCTTACTCTGTTGATCAGGCTGATCTGTAACTCCTGAGCTCAAACAATCTTCCTGCCTCGGCCTCCCAAAATTTTGGGATTACAGGCATAAGCCACTTCACCTGGCCATGAGATAATTTCACACAGAAAAAAAAAGAACCAGATGATATGATCGTAATGGGCACAGGCTACTTTAGTAGGGTGTTGGAGAAGCTTCCTCCTTTGAGCTGAGATTTGAAGCATGGAAGAAGAAAACAGGTGTTTAAGGATTCCAAGCATTTGGGATTCCTGCATTTAGGTTCTGGAAAGATAAAGAAGACCATTGGTCTTGGAGTGTGGTGAACAAGATGAACAGTGATCTGAGATGATGTTGGAAAGGAAAGTCTAGGCTGGATCATGTGGAACCTGTCTTCTAGGTTGTGTTATAGACTTTGGATTCTCCTGCAGGTGGGGGAAATGTTTGGTTTAGGATTTAAAAAAATCATGTGGCTGTTATGTTGGAACAGCTAGTAGGGTGAAGGCAAGATCTGTCAGCAATTGGTTGTACCTGGGAAGGTGGTGGTACCAGAAATGTAGAGAAAGGGGATGGGATTTATTTGGATTAGGGGAGATCTTTGAGACTTAAAACCAGTAGTACTTGTTCATGGATTGGAAATGGAAATATGTGCAAAGGGAGGAGTTGATGAATTCCCTATTTTGGCTTAAACAATTGTGCATAGTTACTGCCTTTATTTAGATGGGGAAGGCCATGGGATGAGCAGGTTATATGAGTGAACACAAAAAATGTTCTGAAAGTTATTTCCTTTCTCCTGCCCTTTCCCATACAATTTCTTTCTTTCTTTCTTTTTTTTTTTTTTTAAGGTTTTTATTTTTTAATAGAGATGGGATCTCACTCTGTTGGCCAGGCTGGTCTTGAACTCCTAAATTCAAGGGATCCTCCTGTCTTGGCCTTCCAAAGTGCTGGGATCGTAGGCCTGAGCCACCTGTCTGGCCCGATACTATTTCTTGAGTATATAGCTGCAGTGTGCCAGTTAGCAGTAAGTGCTTTGGTTCGAGTCCCTTATTTAATGTACCAACAGTCTGAGAAGGCACTTTGTTATATTGCAGATGATAAGCAGCTTGCCCAAGATCACCCAGAACTAGTTAGTAACAGGGGCAGGATTTTGACCTAAGCTCTCTGACTCTTATTCTCTGTGTCTTTTTCTTTACTTCATTCTTTAGAGAGAAAAAGTAAATTTCTATGGTAAGATCTGCTGCTTTACTCTTGTGCAATTCTGTTTTTTAAACTATGGATTTCTTTGTTATGTCTTGATTCAGGATAACTTGGCTAAGTTCTGTCACTTTTACTTATTTTGTTTACTCTTTTCTTTTCTTACCTCCTTCCCTCTTTTTTTTTTTTTTTTTTTTTTAACAGAGTGGAGGAACAGGACTGTGGGGCTTCTGCGGACCTTCCAGGAGGCCGTGGGGGGTGTTTGGTCTGGGTCTCTGGAGCCTCACAGGTTGCTCTCGCCATACAGGGCGGTGGAGAAGGACATGTAGTCGAGGGCACCGGGCACGGCATCAGGGCCCTGGTAGGGCGCCATGTGGGCGATGCAGTACTCGGCCTGGTCGAGGGGCAGCTCTCTCCACAGCTCCTTGGCTGTGATGAAGTTCTTGTCCCCTGCCAAGACCTTAAAGGAGGTGATGACCTGGTCGGCTGTGTCCGTGTCAGTGGTCTCTCGAGACATGAAGTCGATGAAGGCTTCGAAGATCACAAGGCCGCTGTGGTTGGGGTCAACCAGGCTCATGATGCGGTTGAACTCGGCGTCACCCTGCCAGTCGTTCTCCACGTCGTAGCCCAGGCTGATGAGGCAGGCCTTGAACTCCTTGGGCCCCAAGCCTAGAGCCTGCTTATTCCCTCTGGTCACTCTTTGCACCCTTTCCTGTAGATATCCCCCTGTCCCCAAACACACCATCGTTATCAAGACCAGTTCACATGACCTCTGAGACACTGCCCAGAGCTCACTGGAGCACAGTCTGACTAGCCTAGTCTTTGTAAAGGCAGAGGAACATGTAGGCATGATGGGTGGGTGGGAATTTGTAAGCTTCACTGATTCTGTGGGTGGCATTTTTTTCTACAGGAACAAAGTATTGCCTTCAGTTGATTGTTTATGAGATATATAAAAGGACTTTGGGAAGGCCCATTCCAAACTGGAGACAATATTGTTCTTTTGTTTCTTAGAAGGGTGGGGGAGGAGACTCTTATTTCTGAGGAATTCTTTGGTTCTCTTGTTGCTGATCCTTCCATGATTAGGGACGTTAGTTACATTGCCTCAGACTTACATAGAGTTGCTCAAAATGGTTCAGAATTGTGGTTGCTCAATAGCTGTTCCTTTCAGAAGCATTTTGGCTCACAATAGATGTTGGGGTAGATGTTTCACCAGTGTTGTACCCATCTTTGAAATGTGTTTTGATGTTTGATGAACAAAGAAAAACCTTAGAATTTGATAGGGTAAAGGTAGGTATAATGCCACACTGGAACTTTTAGTAGAAGGAACTTTTAGACAGTGGGAAAGAATCTGTTAATCTTCAACATACATAATGCTGATCATGCATAGGTAGATTTTACATGGATATGCTGATTATTAGGCTGTTTTTAGTGAAGGTTTGTTGGCCTTTGCTAGCAGCTGTTTCTTTAATAAAATTTTAAGATCAGCGGCGGTTCAGTTAATAGTCTATTTACTCCATCCAGTTATTAAGGGCTGATCATCGTTATCACCATCAGCACTGCCATTTATTGATGCTAAACTTATACTAGACACCAATAATTGTTAGCAGATGATTTTTCAGTATGAGTTGATAATGAGCCTTAACACATAACTGGCTCTGTCTTCTTTTCTAGATTCTGATAGTTGGTGGTGGTGTTGCTGGGCTTGCTTCTGCAGGTGCAGCAAAATCGATGGGTGCAATTGTTAGAGGATTTGACACAAGGTGAGTGACTGATGTTAAGGTAAAAACATTTTGTTTCAGGGGCATATAATGCTTTACTTAAAATGTATGCTTTCCTTAAACTTCATAGATTGAAGTTGCACATTGCTGCTGGTCTATAAGCTCTTTCCACTGAAAAATGTTTCCACTTTTTAAAAGTTAACGCAAAGTGAAAATGTATTACTCAGTGAAAAAAAAAATTAAGGACCTAGCCTCAGTACAGCAGAAATAATTTTAAAAATCCCAAATAATCAAACTAACAACTCACAGCTCTGTTTTCTTGGGTGGATTGACAATGGGACCAGAATTCTCTCTAACCTGAGTTTCTAACGTGTTGCTTTACCATGTCCTATTTCTGTTCAGAATGCTTTTAGGCACTAGTTAGGGCATGTTTGAGATGTTTGTGAATCTGAAGAGAGTAAAATAGCAGGCTGAGTCAGGGGGATGCCCTACCTTGAATGGATAGAAGCAAATAAAGCTGACTGACACTTCACCTAACAACACATGCATTATTTATGCTTCCTGCGTTTGGTGTTAAGATACAGTTGCATATATTTTTCTGATAATTTTCAAGCCCGTGAGTGAAAGTGCTTGATTATGTACACTGTGTATTTCTCTAATGCTGACATATACACATTTTGTAGATTGTCTTTAAAGAGAAGTTTGATTAAAATTCTTCATTTCAAAAGACACTAGATACTGGATTTTATTAAATGTAGGTTGAGTACTGTTAATATGTGTTTTAATAATTTTTGAGGCTGAAAAATGTAGTTATTTATTATCGGCTGAGGGTACTGGAGGACTAATACTACTGTTAATCTTGAATTTTGATCAAAAAAGGAAAAAAAGCAACCATTCAAAGTTGGAAGAATGTGACTTTTCAGAGTAAAGAATGTTCCATAAAATGTGGTTAATAGTCTTTATCTGGAGTTAAAGTGATATACTGATAAAAAGCTGTCCTGTTGAAATGAGAAAATAAGGCGTTTCCTAAATAAGCAGGACACAAACCAAGGATAGAGAGAGTTAAGCATGCCATTGATCCTGTCATTTCATTTTTATTGTTTGTTGATGTGAAGTTTTCTCAAGACCGCCAAGCCCATAGAAAGCAGGTAGTTCAAGTTTTCATTGTAGTTGACAGTAGTATTAAAATGGAAATGCATGTGTTTGACCTAAAGGTAATTTGAAATTTGGTGGTGGGTGAACCACTGAGAATTTAGTATATTGATGTCATTTTTTAGGTTGTATACAGAATAGACAGCTAGAATATGGCTATTGCTTATATTAGAAAAATACAAAAACTCAATTTTTCTTTATAATTTATTAAGTTTGTTATACAGGTATCTCAAGTATACAATGAAGAAAGATGTGGCTGAAGTGATATAATACTTTTCTAAGAATTATAGCTCATTAGTTACTCTAGTCAGTATTTTGAGACAGGGTTGGTTTAATATGGTAAATATGAAATCCATATGTATTGGAAAACAGACTTGATTTTAATTCTTGTTGGAAGATTAAGTGGTATATATTTTCAGTTAAATATTCTAAAAACTTACGGACAGCTCGTTGCTCAATGATATTTAAATGATCTAATTTTTGAATTCTTTCAAAAAATAACTAGGAGATTCCCCTTTTAGCAATAGTGATTATCTTGCCTAATGCCTGTGTTACAAAGTTTAAATATATAAAAACCTTGCTTTCTTTCCTATCATAAAATAGTACATGATTATTCTTCCAATTCAGAAAAATATGAAAAAGCACAAAAACAGAAAATAAAATAGCTTAAAGTCCCACTGCCTAGAGATAACTTAGTTTTTTCATGTGTTACTTCTACACGTTAATTAAAAATGTAAATTTACTGTTCCATTTACCTTTCTTCATTTAACAGTAGATAATGAAGATCTTTCCTTACCTGCAAATGTTTTTAATGACTACAGAAGATTCCATCATATAGAAGTACAGTAGTTTATTTTACTAGTCCTCTATAAATGGACATTTTTTACTATATTTAAACAATACTCTGTAGGTCAACATACACGTAGAGACATACAGTAAGCCCTCTATCCAGGGGTTCTATTATCTGTGGATTCAACCAGATCAAAAATATTCAGAAAAAAGATTGTGTTTGTACTGAGCTAGAAACAAGTTTGTTTTTCTTGTCATTATTCCCTAAACAATATGGTATAACAGCTATTTACATAACGTTTACATTTATTAGGCATTATAAATAGCCTAGAGGTGACTTAAGCTGCTTGGGAAGATGTATGTAGGTGTGTGCAAATACTACACTGTCTTTTATAAGGAGCTTGATCATCCGTGGATTTTGATATCAGAGGGGTGTCCTGGAACAAATTCCCCATGGATACTGAGGGGTGACTGTATATCAGAGAACATACATTTCTGGAGATATCTCATTTTTCCTTAGATAAATTTTAAGGAAATATTGGAGTCAAAAGATATTCACATTATAATGTTAATATAGTATTTTTAAATGATGAAATTATTTTATGGGCAAAGATATAACAGCAGAGATTTAAAAATAGCTTATGTATCTAATGATACATATTAATTATAAAAAAATACAGTGAAACATAAGGAAGCAAATGAAAATAACTTTTATAATTCTATCAGCCAGATATAATTGCTGGTGATATTCTGGTATAATTTCTTCAGAGATTTATGTATATAACTTTTTTTTGAGATGGATTTTTCTCTTGTTGCCCAGGCTAGAGTATAACGGCATGATCTTGGCTCACTGCAACCTTTGCCTCCTGGGTTCAAGCGATTCTCCTGCCGCAGCCTCCCAAGTAGCTGGTATTACAGGCGTGTGCCACTGTACCTGGCTAATTTTGTATTTTTAGTAGAGATGGGGTTTCTCCATGTTGGTCAGGCTGGTCCTCCTGAACTCCTGACCTCAGGTGATCTGCCCACCTCAGCCTTCCAAAGTGCTGAGATTACAGGTATGAGCCACCATGCCCGGCTGTATATAACTTTTGAACAAAATTTGGATCATTTGATATACATATACATATGTATATATGTATACATACGTATATGACACACACATGTATATATATATATATATATATATATATACACACATACATACACATATAACATTTTGAATTCATCTTATTTCTTATTAATATTGGTAGACATTTCTGAAGCTTTTTAAAGAACTATATCCCTGTGGTTGCCACAAATGGAACACCAACTCAGATTGGCTTAAACCATAAGAAAATGTATTCTTTCTTCTAACTGAGAATCCAGGGGAAGGACTTCCTTTTCACATTACAGTTAGATGCTCCTCGGTGCTGTCAAGGACCAGTTTCTGTCACTCTTCTCTGTTGTCCTTGGCTTTGGCTTCCTCCTAAGGCTGATTCCACTGTGGTTGCAGCTTTACCTCCAGAGGCAATCTGGGCTACCAGATTCCTTGCTCAAGCCAGCAGAGAGAGAAACTCTTGCTCAACCATAGACTGTATGTCCTACCCTTTATGCACACTTTTGAACATGATGGTTGCTAGGGATTTATTGGCTCAGATCACTGTTTCCCAAACTTCCCTGATGACAAAGGAAGACCTACAGTTCTTGCTAAAAATAATATAGCATCTGGCCTGCCTGCTGGAGATTATAATTCAGTGGATCTGGGAAGGGGCCTGGGAATTTGAATTTTTAACAAGTACCTTGAGTGATTATTGTCATTAGAGGGTTTGGGATTTACCATAGTGGAATGGATATTGGTGAATTACACGCACTGTCCACCACAGAGCTGAGGTCTTTGTTGGCTCTGCTTTTCCAACCAGGAGACAGTACTTGGGTAGCATTTATTTACTTATTTAAAACTGAATTAGTTTTACATAATTTCAATGTGTTGGCTTTTCACATTTTACCCTTTACTATCATTTATAGGTTACTTTTTGCAAACATAATTTAACGAGGACAGGGTGGGGGGCAAAAAATTACATTAGAATAATTTTTTGTGGGAAAATTATCTAATAAGAACAAATTCAGAATATTTACAAGTGAAAAACCTCATCTTGAGTGATTTGAATGCTATCAAAACCTGATGTATATCAGATATCACATCATCGTCCACATTGGGGTCATAAGGAACACAGTTGGTTACTGGAGTTGGCAATTGTGAAATTGCTTTTGCAACTTAACTAAGTAGAAGTTGGAATTCTCAATAGTATTTTTGGTTTCAGAAAAGAATATTCTTGTAAAAATGTAACTTGCTTTTAGAAAAAAAATCAGAACAATTAAGTACGAAATCAAGGGACTCTTGACTTTTGAATATATAGTTTGTTGTTCTTAAAAATGTATATGTAAATGTAAATGATAATCTTGACTTCCTTATTAGGGCCTAAAATAACTATGCTTTCCACTTTAACAATCACCCTAGAGCTGCAGCTTTGGAACAGTTCAAGTCTCTGGGTGCTGAGCCCTTGGAGGTGGACTTGAAGGAGTCTGGTGAGGGACAAGGAGGATATGCAAAAGAGATGTCCAAAGAGTTCATTGAAGCTGAAATGAAACTCTTTGCTCAACAATGCAAGGAGGTAGACATCCTTATCAGCACAGCACTTATTCCAGGTATGCCATTAAGTAAATGGTTATTTTAAAAGCACTCTTACTCATTTTTTTTTTTTTAAATGAGAGTGAATAATTGCTTAACATTAGAATTTTCTTAAGGAAGGAACTAGTACTTTCTATTACAAAAGTACTAGAAAATGAGAAAACGTGACAAAAATCACAGTCATTAATAATTTTCTTCAACTATTTTTTCTGTGAATTTTTAATTTTTTTTTGAGGTGGAGTCTCACTCTTATTGCCCAGGCTGGAGTGCAGTGGCACGATCTTGGCTCACTGCAACCTGTGCCTCCTGGATTCAAGCGATTCACCTGTCTCAGCCTCCCAAATAGCTGGGATTACAGGCACCCACCACCACGCCTGGCTAATTTTTGTATTTTTAGTAGAGTTGGGGTTTTGCCATGTTGGCCAGGCTGGTCTCGAATTCCTGACCTCAGGTGATCCACCCGCCTTGGCTTCCCAAAGTGCTGGAATTACAGGCATGAGCCACTGCTCCCAGCACTTCTGTGAATTTTAATATAACTTCATAGATTACTGTATGTACAATATTTTTTATGAAGAATAAAATACCATTTATTTTGAAAAGATTATTATTTTCTGTTCAATTTTCTTTTATTTCAATAGCTTTTGGGGAGCAGGTGGTGTTTGGCTGCATGGAAAAGTTCTTCAGTGGTGATTTCTGAGATTTTGGTGTACCCGCCACCTGAGCAGTGTACACTGTGCCTAATGTATAGTATTTTATCCCTCACCCTCCTTCCACCCTTAACCCCTGAGTCTCCAAAGACCATTATATCATTCTTATGTCTTTGTGTCCTCATAGCTTTCTTCCACTTTTAACAATGCTTGGTTTTTCATTCCTGAGTTATTTCGCTTAGAATAATGGTTTCCAACTCCATTCAGGTTGCTGTGAATGCTATTATTTTCTTCTTTTTTATGGCTAAGTAGTATTCCATGGTGTGTGTGTGTGTGTGTGTGTGTGTGTGTGTGTGTTTATCCACTTGTTGGTTGATGGGCATTTAGGCTGGTTTCATATTTTTGCAATTGCGAATTGTGTGATATAAACATGTATATGCAAGTGTCTTTTTAATATAAAGACTTATTTTCTTCTGAGTATATACCCAGTAGTGAGATTGGTGAATCAAATGGTAGTTCTACTTTAGTTCTTTAAGGAATCTCCAATACTGTTTTCCATAGTGATTGTACTAGTTTACATTCCTACCAGCAGTGTAAAAATGTTCTCTTTTCACTACATCCATGCCAACATCTGTTATTTTTTGAGTTTTAAATTACGGCCATTCTTGCAGGAGTAAGGTGGTATCTCATTGTGGTTTTGATTTGCAATTTCATGATAATTAGTGACGCTGAGCATTTTTTTCATATGTTCATTGGCCATTTGTATATCTTCTTTTGAGAATTGTCCATCCATGTCCTTTGTCCACTTTTTGATGGGATGATTTATTCTTTTCTTGCTGATTTGTTTGAATTCCTTATAGATTCTGGATATCAGTCATTTGTTAGATGCATAGCTTGTGAAAATTTTCTCCCATCAGTGGGTTGTCTGTTTGATTATTTCTTTTGCTGTACAGAAGCTTTTTAGTTTAACTAAGTGACATCTATTTATCTTGGCTTTTGTTGCATTTGCTTTTGGGTTCTTGGTCATGAACTCTTTGCCCAAGCCAGTGTTTAAAAGAGTTTTTCCAATGTTACATTCTAGAATTTTTATGGTTTCAGGTCTTAGACTTAAGTCTTTAAGGATCCATCTTTGAGTTGAGTTTTGTGTAAGGTGAGGGGTGAGGATCCAGCTTCATTCTTCTGCATGTGGCTTGCCAATTATCCCAGTACCATTTGTTGATGTATGTACAATGTTATATTCATAAGCAGTTTCCTTTGCTCAGACCCTTGATAAATTGATTGTTAATTTATTTACATTTTCTTTGTTAGATACTACCTTCTCCTTGTTGGAAATTCAAACAGTAGTAATAAATAAGAAAAAAATATAGATCATCTGAAGTTCTACTAAAGAGATGACTGTTAACTAATATTTTGATCATTTTTTCCATATATGTGAGAGACAGATGGGGATTTTGTATGTATATGTATTAATAGAATTTTCAGTGTATATTTTTTACTTATGGAAATGACCCTTTGTTAGTTTTAAATTATTTCTTTTGACATGTTTTCAGCCAAATTGTGAGCTCTTTGATGGTAGGAATTACTTTCTAGTACCTTTACGAATCTCCTTCTAAATAGTATTTTGTACTCAGTGCATGACTGATGTCAAACCGCAAGCATTTATTAATCAGTAAGCAGTAGCTTGGTCTAGCAAGATTTGGGAGTGAAGAAACTCTCCACCTTTTATAGTCTTACCTCTTCTCTTCACCTATCCTTTCCTTTTGTTAATTGAATAATGAATACCATGTTGACTCTAATTTTTTCCTTTCTGAAAGAAAGTGGGCCATATAATGACAGCTTAAAGGGTTCGTGGTTGCTTATGTTAGATCCTAGTGAAGGAGCCTCACTTGCTCTGAGGTACTGTGGATAATTAGAATTTGCTTTGTCATGAGGCTATGAAAGAGGAGAAACTCTCCTCTGGCACCTGCCCTGACAACAAAAAGTCTGGCTAATATAAACCCAAGGACAAAGAATTGATTGGCATCAGACCTGTGAGCTTGTGAGGGAAAACAAGCCTCCCAAGTGTGTTTTTCTTTTTCTTTCTGTCCTCTGTTAACCCAGGTGATAGGTGAGCTGGTCTCTCCAAATACCCGCATCCCACCAGGGCTGCTAGATGAGGCAGACAGGCAGGAGGGTGATATGGGTGTCTCAGGAGGGCTCAGCCAATGGGAGCATCTGTAATGTAGAAATGAGGCCTGAGGTTGATTCCTGGAGGTGCCTGCAGATCAGACAAGCCATGGATCCAGGATAGTGTTTTTGAAATCTGTCGGTGAAGACAGAACTCATGCACAAGCAGTGTCAGGAGAGCACTTCAAGATTCAGCCTTTCCTTATGTGGCAGTGGCTCCTGGCTCAGCTGTTTCACAGGTGGCTCTGAGGAAGAAATGGAGTGACCTATGCTGCAGCCACCATCTGACCTCTGAGAGGCAGCCGTGCATTGGGGAGAAGTTATGAGAGGATTAGATGTAACAAGTGGCCAGTAGAGGGTGCTAAAACATTTACTCATGGAGTAAGCCATGTGGATAGGAAGCTAGTTTTAGTCAACTCATACTGCAAAGAACTAGGGATAATTTGAACAGAGTATATAGATTTATTATTGATTACAAAGCTAGATGTAGGTGATAGTACTCAAGATTTATTTTATAAAAACATAACGACTTTCAGGGCCTTCCCCTCTCCCCATAATATTTTAGTTTTTATAAGGAGCTTATAGTCAGTATACTTTAGTAAAAGGTCAGACTTCAATCTTGAAGACTAGTTGAACAAATTTTATTATTTTGTTCCACTAAACCTTCCTTGTTTACTGAAGCCACGATCTTCACATTAAACTTTCAGAAAGTTCTTGAACAGTACCTCAGCTCGCCCTCAAGGGCCTTTACTTTCTTTTGGGGAAAAAAAAAAAAGTTAAATTAGAATATTATACAGAAAAAGGTGATTTTTCTAAAGATCTTTCCTATCTCTGGGGCACTGAAAATGGAAAGCACGAGCATTTAACAAAAATGACTGAAAGAGTACATAAAGATATAAATGCCCTTTGGAAAACAATGATGTCCTTGTGATTATACCTTTACTGGTTTATGTCCTGAGCCTTTGCCTGGGTCCCCTGATGGTGTATCTGACTCTTGAATGACTCTTGGAGCAGAAATTGTTCTGCAGTTTTCCTTGAGTGGATTCAAAGGGGATTTAGTCAAATGTCAGAAATTCTCTAAGCTAAGATTTATAGATTGAGATCCCTGGAAGGCTGGACTGAAGACCTGGATGGATAAGAATGTTGAGAGGCACACACAGGTAAGTAGTTTCAGGGAGCAACTTCACGGAGTTGGTACATTTTTATTGTCCTAGGTATACATCACTTGGTGGGCTTGAAAAAACAATGACCTTGACTTATATAGGTTGTATACGGAATGAGATAGTTCTATAGTTAGGTAGTTGTTATGCCTGATATCTTACATCATCATCTCACCCCCCTATTGGGTCGAGCGATGGGTTAAAGGTGAGAATTTCACTGAATGCAGGTAACTTGAGGATGGGGCCAAGTTGACAGTCCCGCTTTGTGGTGCTGTGTACACAATGGAAAGCTCTCTGCTTTCCTGTCCAGCTCCTTGACCTTTGGGGCTACCATTAGGCAGCCCTGCTCTCCAGTAATGTTCAGGCTGTGCTCATAATCTTTCCTGCTAAGCCTTTTGAGACACAATATTTTTTAGCATCCCTAATGATCTGAAACCCTTTTAGAGAGACTTGTCATAGACATAGAATAATAATCAGGAAGGGATGTAATCAGGCTGAAAATCTGATAAGTAGTTAGGGAGGGGAATATGGTGTGGGGTGAGAAGGAATCATGGTATCTTTGCACTGACTGTGTCTTGGGCAAATTTCACCTAAGTTCCGATGAGAGTGAAGAGAGCTATGGAGCACATGCTAAGTTTAACCTGACAGAAACCACATTTTCCTTTTAAAATCTTTCTTGATGACCACTTAATTAAAAAATCATGAGCATCTTAAAGTCCTGTAGCTTCCCAGCTCTCCCTTTTCTCACCTCAGGTCTAGCCCTCGTTAATTTAGGGGAACCATAGCTACTCTAAGGCCTGAGTTTTTGTTTAGCAATGATGACAGTAGCTTGGACGACTTGGGTTCCTAGCATCTTTAGATGAAGCAAGCCATATAAATTGATCAGAGTTGGATCATAGTCTCCCACTCCTCAATTACCTGTGCTATGACGTTTGCATTCCTTGGAGGTATTTCTTGGCTTTCATTTTCTAGTCCTGATTTAGCTTTTGTGTCTCATGTTAAACTAATGTCTTGCTTTCTTGGCCTGATTTCAGCCATGTTGAC